CCCTATAACAAAAACCTCTAAAAAAAAAAAAAAAAGTCAACTGGCATCTCAGCTTCTGGCCTCTGGCCTAACTCTAAGTAGTGTTGTTTCTATAGAAAAATATCCCAGGTAATAGTCTATTATTCAGTCCACCCATGAAGAACCTGATGGAGGTGGTCTTGCTGGTAGCTGGGCTGCGTCTCTTCATTCTTCAAGCCTGAAATCACATGTTGAAAGAGCTAGAAACTTTGAGACAGGAAACCTTGACACTGTTTAGCCACAGATAAATACTGTGCTATGGGTAAACCTAGTATGGACATAGAACTGACACTACGGACCGTGGTGTTCATGGGGAAGTCTGACAGTCGGTCGGTGGTGTTCATGGGGAAGTCTGACAGTAGCAGCTGACTTCCGGGTAGAGTCTTGAAGGAGGTCAGAAGCTGATAGGAAATGGGGTGCGGAGGATGTTGAAGAAAAGAAATGTGTGAACACTACCTGTTTTACGATAAAGAAATCTGTCAGTACAGTGGCTAAGGGTGTCAGGAGGGAAGTAGTTAGAGATAATGCTAAAGAGGGCACGGGTTTCAGAAAACAAAACTAAAGAATTAAAGAACATTTTAAAACTTTTCATAATGAATTCCCATATGTATGTTGAGTTCTCTAAAATAGAGAGTGAAAGGTTTTGCCTCTTCTGAAGTATATATATATATATGTATACTAAGGTCTTAAAGTTGATTTTTAAAAATGATTTATTTAATTTTATTTATCATAATTATTATTTTTTAATTTGGTTCAGGGCATGTGTGCTCACCAGAGAGAGAGAGAGAGAGAGAGAGAGAGAGAGAGAGAGAGAGAGAGAGAGAGAAAAGTGAGAAAGAAAGCCTCTAGGTCAGGGACTGGAACTGCAGTCAGCCATGTGGGAGTCCATGCCTCCCAGTCAGTCATGTGGGGTCTATGCCACCCTCTGGCCCATAAAATAGGCTTTTTTTTTTTTTTTTAATTTATTTAATCTGAACTCTCAGTCCAAAACCTCCATGGTATCTCTGGTAAGAATTAGCCTAGCTCAGATACTTCCAGTACCAAGCTGTGACCCATTTTATGCTTTTATTTATTTTGAATTCATTTTTCATTGAGGCACAATTACATACAATAAAATGCACAGGGCTTAATTGTATAGTTTGATGACTTTTCTCAAATATACCTGTATATTCAAAGGCTTAATCAAAATGCAGGAAGTTGGGCAAGGTGGTGGTGCAGGGAGACCAAGACTCAACAAGACCCATGCAGGGAAGTCCAGGGTTCGTGTCCCAGGACCTCCCTGATACACGATGCACAGGCGCATGCCCACGATCCAGGGCTGGCTGAGATGGGGGTGGATTGTGATATGAAGACCCCATCAAGAATTCTTTCTCTCCAAAGACATAAATAAACTTTTAAAAATGTAGGAAATCGCCATCATCCAGAGAATTCTCTTGTTCCTTCCTGTTAACCACTCTCCCTCCATCCTCCCACAGGCACTCTATTCCGATTTCGGTTCCCATAAATGAGTTTTGCCTGTTCCTCACAACCCGTAAGTCATTCGGTGTGTGTACGCTTCTGTGTCTGGCTTTTTTGACTTACCGCAATCTTTTTGCGATTCATCTATCTTGCCATATATATGAATAATCTGTTCCTTTTTATTGCTGGGCAATATCTCACAGTATGAATTGACCTCAATTTGTTTATCCATTGTCCTAACAATGGCCAGTTGCATTGTTCCCAAAGTCCACCTTTTCAAAACAAAGCTACAGTGAATCTTCTTATGCAGGTTTGTTTGTAGATAAAATAATTCAATTTCTTTGGAATTCCTGGATCACAACATAGGTGAATATTTCTAAGAAAATACCTGTTTTCCAGGGCCAAAAGGTGGCATGATGAGTAAGGCACTGGACTCCCACGTGGTAACCACGGTTCAAGTCCTGGACCTGGTGGCTTGCTTTCTCATTTTCCCTTTCTCTCTCTGGTCAAATTTAAAAATAGTAATAACAAATAAAGTTAAATAAATAAAGAATTCTTTTTTCCTTTTTAAATTTTTATGCTAAGGAAAGGAGGTGATGGGGAACAGAACAAGTAAGGGAACTTTTTTTTTTTTTTTAGAGAGATTTTTCTATAGGGTGCTGTGCTCTCTGGAGAGACAGGGACAGAGAGACAGAAAGTGAGAAATAACCCTCCAGGAGGGATGGCCATACTGCAGATGTGGCCATCTATATTCACTTCTCCTCCAGTCTCTTTGTGCCCCACGTGAGTTTAAAGCTGCCGGTCTGGGATTCAAACCGTGGTCAACTATGTAAGAGTCCAGTGATGTAACCATTATGCCATCTGCTGGTCCCAAATAAATATAATTATATAAATTATATTTATAAGTATTAAATTATAATCTCTATATAATATAGAAGTATATTATTTTAGATATTTTTATATCAAAATTATATTTTATATATAGAAATTCCATAGAGAGAAATTATGTTCTATATATTGTTTATGTATATTTTTCTCTATATATGTATCATTTATATATATGTGTGTGTGTGTGTATATATATGTGTGTGTGTATATATATATATATATACACACACATATATTTAAGTGGAGTTTTTTAATTTGCTTTGTTAAGTCTGTCCATTTATCTCTGCAGAGAGAATCATCCTCAACAGGTTTTCATGATCTGCCCCAGCCCCAGCCAGCCTCCGTCATAGGCCCGTATGTAGACCCAGTATGTACAAAAAGGCCCTAAGATGTAAACCGTGGAGACTGTTCCATGTGCTTCAGTGTGTTATTGATGCACCACCATCTGGCCCTCTGTTTCATTTGCTTATTTATTTAAGGTTTTAGTCATAGGGTGCTCACGAGAGAGAGAGACATAGAGAGACAGAGAGAAGGAAAGTAAGAAATCATCCCCCGGCAGGTGCCACACAACAATCCCTTCCCCATTCTTCCCTTGGGACTTTGGACACGCATGAAAATGTGGCCGGCATGAGCTTGTCAGGATCTTGGGCAAGCATACAAATACCCAGTGTGTTTTGGTGCTGGTCCAGGTATCAAACCCAAAGTCAGTGTTGTTTTCATCAATGCAATTCAGCTTGCCGTCTAGTGTATCACCAGGCTGGGCCTCCACCTCGTCTAATGGGAAGAGAACTTTGACTTGTAGATGGGCACATGGATGCTGAGAATAAAGCCTCCATCTCCCAGCATCCCTTGGAGGTAGTGCGGCCATGTGACTATGATCTGGCCAATGGGATGTGAGCAGAGTGATGTGTGCCCATTGGTGTGTAGCCTTTCTCCTTCCGTTGGCTGGATTGAGGTCGTGCTGGTGAACCGTTGTGGACAAAGGAGGCATTTGGGTTGGTTGAGCATTGAGTACAAGGATCTAGAACTCTTGACGGCTTCATAAAAAATTGCAGAGAGGGAACCAGCAGATGGCATAATGGTTATGTTGCTGAACTCCCACGTAGTCAATCGTAGTTTGAGTCTCAGATCCTGTGGCTTAAAACTCATGCTGGGTATGTGTGTGTGCATGCCCAAAATCCTGAGAGAAGACTGGAGGAGAAGGGATTGTGGCATGGCCATCCTCTCCGGCAGGGGTGGGAGGTGATTTCTGGCTTTCTGTCTCTCTGGCTCTGTCTTTCTGACGAGCGCATGTGCCCTATAGCAAAAATCTCTCTCTTAAAGAAAAGATAACTTAAAAAACAAGCAAGTAAAAGACTGCAGAGACAGTAGCTATGGTGAGAGGAGGTGTGTCCTGTGTAAGCCACCATCATTTGAGTCCCTGTAACTGGCAGTTGAAGTTCAATCCCAGCTAGGCCACAGACCCTGAAACCTTGTGTCCTGCACTCCCAGCCTCACCCTCGTTTTCCGGCAGGATCGCTTTATAGCCACACAGTGAAGTTGCCTAGATCAATGTGTTCATGCCCAATCATTCGTTATTTTTGACAGATAAAGAGAAGCTGGCAAGTCAAAGCAGGTGAGGGTTAGCTACTCTCTCCCCTCCCACCCCACGGCCAGATTTTAAGGAAGCAAGTCTCACCCCACCTTCTGCCACACTTGCAGACGTTTATTGAATAAACATTTATCAGCCACAGGGCATATGCCAGCCTCGCTCTCTTCCAGGTGTTTTCCTCACACCCTGCTTGATCGTGTGTACTTTCTTAACAGAGACGACGTGGAAGAGGAAGCTTCAGCCCTGCTTACCGTTGGTAACAGGCAACCAGACTCTTCAGATTCAAGTACGTGGGATGAGTTAGGGATCGAGACTCAGTTGCCGTGTTCAAGGCCAGAGGACTTACCTGTTCAGCTGATGGAAGAGTACGTGAAGATCCTTTTGACAAGTCATATGTTTTGAATACTTGTGAATTTACTAATGAGAGCCCATTTGTAATACTCCTTAAGCTAATTAACAAGCCACTAATGAAAATCTATTCTCAACATTTGTTATGCTAATTAGTAAAAACCACTTATATTGATTGAGATTAGGCTAAACAAAACACTTGTCGTAGCACCCTGGAGTGTGAACTTTTTTATTTTTTAGAGAATTTTTGTTATAGGATGAGAGACACAAAGAGAGAGAGAAAGTGAGAAACCATCCCCTACGGGGGATGGCCACACCCGCAGTCCCTTCTCCTCCATTCTCCTCTCCAGATTTTGGGCATACATGTACATGTGCCTACTGTGAGTTTCAAGTCTCTGGGTCTGGGACTCGAACCACAGTTGACCATGTGGGAATCCAGTGATGTAACCACCACGCCACCTGCTGACCCCAGAAAGTCTGGGTTTTCTAATGCTGGCTGACCAAGGCATAATTCCTGTGCAGGACAAATGACTGCCAGTAGGGTGCTGGCGAAACTGGCACAGTGACATTCGGTGGCCTATGTGAAAGCATCTAAAATAAGTTCTCGGTGTCACAGGGACCAGGCGACGGCACCGTGGTACTGCAAATGGATCCACATGGGAACGGGCCTTGGTTTGTGTCCTCGGCCTTCCTGAGC